GTTCGAGGTCCGATACTAATGAAGGAATTATTCTCCACAAAATTCTACTATAAGTCACCGAACAACGAAAATCTCCAGCTGCCACCAACAACGTTTAAACAGGTCTAATAATTTGACCACTAGAAAAAAACGCCTATTTCCCCATATTTCTTATTATTTTGAAATTAGCCTGTTTTGACCCTCAATACTTGAAGTTAGAGGTCGGATACCAATGAAAGAAATATTCTCCAGAAAATTTCACTATAAGTCACCGAACAACAAAAATCTCTAGCTGTCACATATGACGTTTAAACGGCTATTTTTATTAGACAAAATAAAAAAAAAATCGAGTTTTATTATTTTTTATATTTTTTCCTCAGGTGTATAATCTTACAAATCTCACCCATATTTAATTCTAATTTTGATTTTGTTTTATTTGTTGTTTTTTATTTTTATTTACAAATAGACACATAATCATAAATATTTGTACTTTTCCAAATTAGCCTAGCCTGTTGTTGGCCGAAAAAAAAATTTACAAAACCAAGCGAAACAAGCCGTCAGACTATTGGATGGATATATGTATGTATGTGTGTACGTACAGACCTACAAATAATGTTGTAGACATACAATATAGGTATGTGTGTTTGTGTGTATGTCAGTATATTAAGAATCTGAATCAATGGCTGGCTGGCTGGGCAGACCCCCAATGTGCATGCATCATGACTAATGGTCAGAAATACCTTCGGCCAGAAGGAGAAATTTTGTTCTCTATGGTGTGTTGGATGTATAAATGTCTGTCAGTATGTCGCGGGTTTTTTTTTGTACAACAACATTTTGTGTCCAATTGTATTTAAATGTAAAGTACATGATTTGTTGGGTTTTGATTTGTTTTTGTGTGTATGTGTGTGGTCAATGTGAAAAAATGACTTATAAAAAATTTCCAAGATATTTTCAAAATAGATTTTTTTAATAACCACAGTAAGTCAATACATATATATTTTTTTTAAAATTTGTCAGGTTTACAACATATCAAAAAAAAAACCTCAAAAAATCCATTCGAAAAATCGATGTAATTTTTTTCCAAAAACATTTTTTTAATTGTGAAAAATGTTGCCTAAAATATTAAAAAAAATGATCTAACCCCAAAAAATATTGAAATCTGAGAACCAAATTTTCAATATTTTTAAAAGGCCACAAACAAAAATAACAACAACTTGACAGCTATAAATTCTAGACCTTCCACAAAACCACAAACAAATACAGAGAGAGATACCCATTCAGCCAGCCAGCCATTGTCGCCTCCAACAAAATTGCCACCAACAACAACAAACAGAATAAATGGATTTTAATTGAATACATTTACAAAAATGATTTCGAAATTTTTCCTCTTCTTCTTCTTAAATACCAGCAGAAGAAGAGAGGAGGACAGCAAGCAACCATACCCAAAAAATTCGGAACGCATTTAACACAGCAAAACAAAACCTTTAAAACCCCTTGACGAAAATCAAAACACACACACAAATAAATATACAGTATCCAATGCAAAAATATAATAAAAAACTACAACAACAACAATAAAATATACTGAAAAAAAACACACACAACCCATGCCCAAGAATACCGGCCAGCACTTATTTGCCATTTGCCAGCTTGCTTTCGCCTCCCTCCATGTAAGTAGTGTAACAGACACACAAATCCATTAACAAAAAAAGTGCAGAAAAAAACATGTTTATTTTTGAAAAAACAAATATATAAAATTTATATTAATGTAAACTAATTCATAATTAAAAACAAGTGAATGTTTAATTAACATTTGGGTTAAGTCGACTATATGAAAGGGCTATAGAGAAATTGGCGTTTTTTACATATTGTCAAATTGTTGTTAACGTTTAAACGTCATATGTGACAATTAGAGGTTTTTGCTGGTCGGTGACTTATAGTGAAATTTTGTGGAGAATATTTATTTCATTAGCATTTGAACTCTAATTTGAAGTATTAAAGGTCAAAATGGGATAATTTTGAAATAACATGAAATGTGTGGAAATTGGCGTTTTTTATGTAGTTATATTGGTGTAGCCATTTTAAAGGTTATAGGTGACAGCTAGAGATTGGATGGTCGGTGACTTATAGTGAATTTTTGTGGAGAATATTTCTTCCATTAGTATCACATCCCGAATTTAAGGTATTGAGGGTGTAATTGGACCAATTTCGAAATAATATAAAAAAAAATGATTTTAGCGATTTTTTTATATGGGCATATTGGTGTGTCGGTTTAAACGTCATATGTGACAGCTAGAGATTTTTGTTGTTCAGAGATTTATAGTGAAATTTTGTGGAGAATATTTTTTTCATTAACATCGGACCCCGAATTTCAGTTATTCAGGGTAAAAATGGGCGAATTTGGAAATAGTATGAAATATGGGGAAATTGGCGTTTTTTATGTGGTCAACTTGGTATACCCTTTTAAACGTTTAATGTGACAACTAAAGGTTTTTGTTGTTCGGCAACTCATGGTGAAATTTTCTGGAGAATATTTCTTTCATTAGCATCGGACCCCGAATTTCAATTATTCAGGGTCAAATGGCGCTAATTCGGAAATAATATGTTATATGTGGAAATTGGCGTTTTTTATGTTCTTATTGGTATACCCGTTTAAACGTTGTGGGTGGTACTTAGAGGGTTTTGTTGTTCTGAGACTTATAGTGAAATTTTATGGAGAATATTTTTCTCATTGGCTTCTTTACTCTAATTTGAAGTATTGAGAGTCAAATCGGGATAATTTTGAAATAACTTGAAATATGTTGAAATTGGCGTTTTTTTTTTAATTGCCGATTTTGTATACCATTTTAAAGGTTATAGGTGACAGCTAGAGATTTTGGTTGGTCGGTGACTAATAGTGAATTTTGTGTAGAATATTTCATTCATTAGCATCGGACCCTGAATTTCAATTATTCAGGTTCAAAATGGGCGATTTTGGAATAACATGAAATATGTGGAAATTGGCGTTTTTTTTCAAGTGGTCAAATTAGTAGACCCGTTTAAACGCTATAGGTGCCAGTTAGAGTTATTTCTTTTTCGGTGACCTATCGTGAAATTTTCTGTAAAATATTTCATCCATTAACAATGGACTCCTCATTTTAACTTTTCGGGTTTAAAATGGGCGAATTTGGAATAACAGGAAATATGTGGAAATTGACGTTTTTTTCATGCGGCCAATATAGTAGACCCGTTTAAATGATATAGGTGATAGCTAGAGGTTTTTGTTGCTCGGTGACTAATAGTGAAATTTTCTAGAGAATATTTCTTTCATTAGCATCGGACCCAGAATTTAAGTTATTCAGGGTCAAAATCAGTGAATTTGGAAATAATATGAAATATGTGGAAATTGACGTTTTTTATGTTGATACTGGTATACCCGTTTAAACGTTGTTCGGTGACATATAGTGAAATTTTGTGGAGAATATTTCTTTCATTGGCATCCAGTCCCTAATTTCAAGTATGGTTGGTCAAAACGGGCTAATTGTGAAATAACATGTAATGTGTGGAAATTGGCGTTTTTTATGTGGTCAACTTGATATACCCTTTTAAACCGTATGAGTATCAGCTACAAGTTTTTGTTGTTCGATGACTTATAGTCAAATTTTCTGTAGAATATTTCTTCCATTAACATCCAAACCAAAATTTGAGGTATAGAGGCTCAAATTGGGCTAGATCGGAAAATTTATGAAAATTTCCTAATTAGCGATTTTTCATTGTTAAAGTTTTTGTTCAGTTTAAACTTCATATATCACAGCTAGAGGTTTATGTTGTTCGGTGACCTATAGTGAAATTTTCTGTAGAATATTTCTTTCATTAGCGACAGAACCCAAATTTTAAGCGTTAAGGTTATAATTGAGCTAATTCGGAAGGAATATGAAATTATTCGTTTTAGCGATTTTTTAGGAAAATTGGTTGTTCATTTAAAAATTATCTATGAAAGCTACAGGTTTTAGTGGTTCGGTGACCTATAGTGAAATTTTCTGTAGAATATTTCTTGAATTGGCATCCGACCTTTAATTTAAAATATAGAGGGTCAAATTGCACTAAATCCAAAATAATTTGAAAAAATCAAAATTAGCGATTTTTTCAACAGCAAAATAAAGTTTTTTGTCCAGTTTAAACATTATGCGTGATAGCTAGAGGTTTTTGTTGTTCGGTGACCTATATTGAAATTTTCTGTAGAATAGTTCTTTCATTAGTGATAGAACCCAAATATTAAGCGTTAAGGTTATAATTGAGCTAATTCGAAAAGAATATATAGTTATTCGAATTTAGCGTTTTTTTTTTTATTTTTTTTTCAAATTGGTATACCCATTTAAACGCTATATAGGACAGCTAGATGGTTTTGCTGTTCGGTGACCTATAGTGAACATTTCTGTAGAATATTTATTTCATTACCACAAAACTTCTAATATGGGGTTATGAGGGTCAAATTGCACTAAAACGCAAATAATATGAAATACCTTAAAATTTGTGAATTTTTATGTGTGCATTAGATCACTATTAATTGAAGAACTAAATAGAAATTAATTGTTCGGATTTATTTTTTTCTTATTTTCTTATTATTTTTCTTTTTTATTATACAAAATTATCCCTGCCGACTATAGGGTACACGTTCCGAATAGAAAATATTTAAAACAAGTCGAGTACATGACACATGCAATGTAATGACTAGGACAAAAATCTTGCAAAATATTTTATTATGTGTGTGTGTGTATCTACGTATGTACACATGTATGTGGAATTTATGATTAAGATTTCTTCACTTATTTAATGAAAACCCTCAATTGTTTAGTATTTTTTTAATTTTATTTTAAAAATCCATTAAAAAATTATTTATATAAAAATGTTTTTTTACATCGTTCTTTATTATTCTTATTTATAAAAATTATATATAATTTATTTTACCTTAGAAAATTACAAAACATTTCTTAAATTACTAATTATAACCTACAATCATTTTCCCCACATCCTCTCCATTTTTATAAAAATCTCCTTATATGAGAATTACCATAACACTGCACCTCATTGCGGGGTACACACATTTGCTTCTGATAATCCCAGGCATGGAATAAATGGCAGCGGAATATTGTCAAATAACCACGCATACATCTATAATAGTATTCACAACGAATTGGATGGGGATGGACACTATCTTCGAAGCGATTGCAGGTGGGCCGATTTGAGGAAGCAGTAATAGGTTTCACTGTAGGTGCAACACTGGCAATTTCTTCATTATTTTCAGTTTCCGATGATTCTTGTAGAGCATGCTGTCCTTCATCTTCCTCTCCTTGTCCCTCTGCTGCAACATCTTGCCCATTTGATCCTTTATTACATACACCATCTTCATCTACAACACATTCGGAAATATTTGCATCAAAATAGGTGTTCACAGGGCATTCTTCCTGATAGGATTCTTCGCCAATAGCAGCACAATAGATGTAGGAGCGGCAATTATTTTCCACCCCGATAAAGGTATCTTCTGCAACCGATGAGCATTGGTCAAAATGTTCACCCACAGCCAAGGTGAAGAGGGTAACAAAAATAATCAAGACCAAAGAGGACGACATTTTTTCTATTGGATGTCTGAGTTTTTAACTCTAGGAATGTTTTCGAACTACTGCATGATTTTGCATGGTCCACATCCGATATTTATATGTATGAGTTAACATTTTTTATGTTTTTTTCAATGTGGCGAATTTTTATGTTTTATTTTAACCTTTAAAATGTCATTTACCTCAAGATCATTTTTTATTGATTTCGAAATCTTATCACACAATATCGAACATCATGTTTATCAGTGTACGGAAAAAAGAAATGGGTTAGTAAGGTAATAGTTTTTTTTTCTTTCTTTCTTTTGTGGGAGAGACAACGACCTTCACATGAACATAACCTCCATGAGATAACACATCAAGTTACTTTGCCCCTTTGAATGTTTTATGGGACAGCTAGAGGTTTTTGTTGTTCGGGGACTTATAGTGAAATTTTGTGGAGAATATTTTTTACAGGCGCAAAATCAAAACCAAAATTTAATTCATTGAAATCATCGATTTTTAAAACAGTCCCATTTGTAAGGCAATTTAAAGATTATATATAAGGCAGCTAGAGGTTTCCGATGTTCGGTGACCTATGACAAAATCTTCTCTAGAATATTTCTTCCCTTAGCATCAGACCCAAAAAACCGCTAAATCGAAAATAATATGAAATTCCTTGAAATCATCGATTTTTAATACAGTTAAATTGGTATAAGCTATTAAAATGTTATATGGACCAGCTAGAAGTTTTTGTTCAACGGTAACCTTTAGTGAAATTGTCCGAAGAATATTTCTTCCATTAACATCAGATCCCTAATTTAAATTATTGATACCCAAAATGGGGCCAAGTCGAAAATAATACGAAATACATTAAAATGTTAGATTTCTTATAGGTCTAAACTGATATACCCTATTTAAATGTTATATACAACAGCTAGAGGTTTTAGTTGTTCGGTGACCTACATAGTGAAATTATCTCTAGAATATTTCTTTCATTGACACCCAATCCGTAATTTAAGTTTTTTGGCTCAAATGGGGCTAAATTGAAAACAATATGAAATTACATTGAAATTAGTGATTTTTTATATAGGTCCAATAGGATATACCCTATTTAAATGTTATGTAGGGCAGTTACAGGTTTCCGTTGTTCGGTGACCCATAGTGAAATTATCTCTAGAATATATCTTTCATTGACTCCCAATCCGTAATTTAAGGTATTGTGGCTCAAATGGGGCTAACTCGAAAAACAATATGAAATTCCTTGAAATTAGCGATTTTGGTATAGTCCAATTTCTATACCCTATTTAAACGTTATATGGGCCAGCTAGAGGTTTTAGTTGTTCGGTGACCTAGTGAAATTTTCTCTAGAATATTTCTTTCCTTGACAACCAATTCAAAATATGAAGTATTGAGCTCAAATGGGGCTAATTCGAAAATAATATAAAATACATTGAACTTAGCCATTTTTATATTGTCAAATTAATTTACCCTATTTAAACGTTATTTGGACTATCTAGGGGTTTTCGTTGTTCGATGACCCTTAGTGAAATGTTCTCTAGAATATTTCTTCTATTAGCATCAGACCCATAATTTGAAGTATTGAGGCTCAAATAGGACAAAAACCATATGGAATTCCTTGAAATTATCGATTTCTCATAGAGCCAAACTGATATACCCTATTTAAACGTTATATGGACCAGTTAGAAGTTTTAGTTGTTTGGTGACCTATAATGAAATCTTCTCTAGAATATTTTTTCCATTGACACTCAATCTATAATTTGAAGTATCGAGGCTGAAATGGGGCTAAATCGAAAAACAATATGAAATTCCTTGAAATTAGTGATTTTTTGTATGGTCCAATAAGATATACCCTATTTAAATGTTATATAGACCTGATGAAGGGTTTTGTTGTTCGGGGACCCATAGTGAAATTTTCTCTATAATATTTCTGTCACTGGCACCCAATCTATAATATGAAGTATTAACGGTCGAATTGCTCTAGATCTGAAATAATATAAAAAATCGAAATTACTTATTTTTTATATAACCCAATATGATATACCCTATTTAAATGCTATGTGGATCAGATAGAGGTTTTTGTTGATCCGTGACCCATAGTGAAATTATCTCTAGAATATTTCTTTCATTGATACCCTATCCATTATTCGAAGTATTAAGGGTCAAATTAGTGTATATCTGAAATAATATATAATAAGTCGAAATTAGTGATTTTTTTATGAGACAGAATATGATATACCCTTTTTAAGTTTTATATGGACCAGCTGGAAGTTTTAGTTGTTCGGCGACCTATAGTGAAATGTTGTGTAGAATATTTCTTCCATTGACACTCAATCCATAATTTGAATTATTAAGGGTCTAAATGGTGAAATCTGAAATATGAAATTAGTAATTTTTCATATGACAAAGTTATATACCTTTTTAAACACTATATAGGCCAGCTAGAAGTATTTGTTGTTGCGTGATTTGTATTAAAATTTTCTGTAGAATATTTCTTGCATTAACTGCTAATTCGTAATTTGAAGTTTTATAGGTGAAATATATCTTGATTTGTTTCTTTCTAGTAATCATTGGGTATTTTATTTTGTAATCATTGTCGGGCTATTATATATGTATATTTTCTTAATAACAAAACTAAAATAAAATTTGTTGCAATATTATTAATTATACTTGTAACATGGGTCGTTTCTCTTTGCCCTCTAAATTCTCATTGGTGTAAGCATAGCCAGTACCACCCTACAAATAAACAAAACATATTAATTTTCTATTTAATTCTTTTCTTTAAAAACTTTCCACTTACTCTTTGTAATGGTATAATATCCTTCTCCTTAAGTTTTTGACTAGTTAAAGGGTGGATCATGTCCTTTTTGATTAATTTTTCCACACATTCCATGGTGACCACATCGCCGCTGTAAAGAAAAATTAAGATTACAAACGAAAATTTAGATTAAATAATTATTGTAATAACCCTCACGTTGGTCTCAGCACGGCACACGGTATGGCATTACTCAGTACATCATGTGTTACGGGACACATATACCTTGCCTCCTTGGCAATCAATGATTTACTACGATCTCCATCTTTGAGTAAAGTAAATTTCACATCTATTAAATCCTTTGCCTTTAATGGTTTCTGCGACACGGGACAATAAATGGTGGGATCGGGTTTTTCAATTTTCGCCCTCCCAGCATTTGGACACTCTGAGGGTAACCAAAAACTTGGCAATTTCTTTTCATGACCATTTGCCATATTCGAAATGGAACTTTCCTCCCGCTTTGCAGCATCCTTGGAAGTGCCTGGCATATCCACAGTGCCATTAACGGGTTTACCCGATTTCACAAATGCCTCAACAGCTGTGGCCTGTTGACGATTTGCAGCCTGTGTCTGTTCATTTTCTTCTTGCTTCTTAAGACGTTCGTATTCTTTCAATTTACGGCTATATTCATTTTTCTTGGTAATAATATATTGTAGAATGGCCTCCTTATCGAAGAGGTAGCCATCTTTGGTCACTACAGGATTGCGGCAGGGTTGCAGTGTGAGGGAACAACAATCAAATGATTTCACAGAATCTTTGCCCAAACGTTGAGCATTTGTTCCATAGCCCGATTCGGCAGCATCTTTTTTCTTTTCATTATAGGTGTAGACGGCACCGGCAGTGCAGTTGCGGGCATGACGGGTCATTGTGGGGGGTTTTTGATTGGTTTTCCTTCAGGACGACGATATTCAATTGTTAATGGCGCCTAAAAGTATGCTTTAATTTAAAACACAATCAATAGAAGTATGTGGAAGGCAACAACAACAAAACATAAACAACAATCAGCCGAGCTGTTGATACCTCCAAAGTTTGTCAACTTACCTTTGGAAAATGTAAAAAAATATATTTGGAACCAATCTTCCAGGGCTTGGGAGGTTATTTGGACTGCTTGGAATCTACACAAGTGTCTTTTTTGTTCTTGGAATCCAAGGAAATGTGTTAAAATCAGCAGCAGTAATTTGTCCGTGTGTTTTGGTTGTTATTAATTCACTGTGAATGCTATGCTGCTTCTTATTGCTTTGATCTGACAGCTGATGATTTATTTGCTTTCTGAGGGAGAATTAAGTCTCTTTTATTAATTTTAATAATTAATTTATTAATTATAGACTGCCAAACAAAATGCCTTATGCTTCTTCTTCTTTTATCTGGCAATAACAATTCCGATAGTTAGTTAACACAAAATCGATAACATAATATCGATAGTCTTCATTGTTGACAGGCAGCTCGAAATGGTATTGCAAAGGCAATCACAGTGGAATGATAACCCAGAGGCATTATGCTTTATAATATAATAGAACATACTTTATTTAGTAAATCCAGTGGTTTTAAATTGTCAATTACATAACATAAACATAAATTATTAGTACGTTTACATGGCAGTGGATTTAGTTAACCCAGTGGGTTTAAATTCCATTGAATATATGTCAAATAAATCCTTTATTGTTGGCAGGCAGCACGGAGGGCAATCACATTGGAATGATAACCCAGCGGCATTATTCATCATAAAATAATAATACATTTTTATTGTATTTTATTTAGTAAATCCAATGGTTTTAAATTGTCAATTCCATTGCAAAAATATAAAATAATTGTACGTTTACATTGTACTAGATAAGTACGTTTACATTGTACTAGACTAGTAAATAAGGTTAACCCCTTAAAAAGTTCTAATTTAAATGCCGTTTAACCCAGTAAAAAATGCTAATGTATCCCATTTAAATAAAAATCAAAGCTATTCATTTTCATTCTTACAATTGTTCAATAATTGCAACATTTA